TTTATTTTTTTGGTATCGGGAATTGAACTCAGGACCTTGCGCTTGCCAAGTTAGTGCTGTGCCACTGAGCTATATCCCTGGCCCTTATTTGTGTATTTTTAATGTTTGTTTTGTTTTGTTTTTTGAGAAAGGGTCTTGCTGAATTCCTAAGTGTCCCAGGTTGGCTTGCACTTGCAGTCCTCCTGCCTCTGCCTCCCAGAGTACTGGGGTGACAGCCGTGTGCTGCCTTTGTTCTTTAACACCAGAAGGAGCAGCAGGGTGCTTGCAGGACTCCTCTTTGGAATCGGGCTCAGTGCCAGGAGGAACCGTCAACTTCAGCCAGAGATCTGGATGGAAAGACTCAGCGATCATGCGCCCGGTGTGGATCTGACTGCCAATCTTCCCTCCCTCCTCCATTTCCTCCTTCCCTCCCTCCTCTCCCTTCCTTTCTTGCTGTGCATCCATGGATCCCCAAGCCTTGGTCATGCTAGGCAAGCGCTGTACCACTGAGCTACACACCAAGCCCCTCTCTAAATTTTGCAAGATATTCATGCTGAAGTGCCCGGGCTGGCCAGGAACTTGTGATCCTCATGCCTCAGCCTCCTCAGTAGCTGGGATTACAGGTGTGCGCCACCTTGCTGAGCTGACTTTGGTCTCTTTCTGCTGACAGCTGGGCACCCCTCCCCCGGATGGGCAGGTCACATGGTGCATGCATGGAGCATCATTCTGGGGATGGGACAGTCTTGGCTTCATCCCTACACCCACCGTCCGGCTGTTAGCAACCAAAGAGACCCGGAGTCCCCGCTTCTGTGCCAGTGTCCCCCCCAGCCTCACGCCATACTGTCCTGACCCGTTGCTCTGACTCCCGGCTCCATCTGTCCCTGTGCACCCCGATTCAGGGCGCGTTGGGCCCCCGCTCAAGAATCCTCCATGGCTCCCAGTTCATTCACAGCGAAACTGCATGTCTTCCCCTCAGCCCTGCACACCCTGCCCGCCACTGCCCCGGCCTTGTTTCTCCTCTCTCCCCCGTACCTTCCAGCTCCTGCGTTCCCTGCGTTGCCCGGGTGGTTATCTCTGCATGAATACCTCTTACTGTCCAGGAGCTGGCAGTTTCCTCTCTCTCCTCTTTTGGGTTTATGCTCAGACACCCCTTGATCCACCGCTCATGCAAAATGTAAGATGTCACCCTGGCCACCCAATCTTTCTGCTTTGTAAATTTAAAAAAAAAATTTTTTTTTCTAGACAGGGTCTCAGTATGTAGTGCAGGCTGGTCTTGAATTCATTATGTAGCCCAGGCTGACCTCAACCTCACGGTGATCCTCCTGTCTCAGCCTCCTAAATGCTGAGCTCACAGGTGTGTGTCACCACGCCCAGCTCCAGCTGCAGTCTTGATCACTATCTCGGACTGGTTCTGTGAGGGAGGTGGTTGGCTTCCAGGGATGGTCACTCCTGCCTGAGGGACACGGCTTCACCATGATGACCTCATGCGGGTGATCTGTTCCCAGACATTCTGGATGGAGACATGACCGCATGTTTAGGGCAGTGGCTGCAGACGCCTAATGTGGGCCGGGGACAGCGTGTTACAGAGTTGGCAATCAGATGTCTGTGAGGATCCGAACATAGACTCAGTTCCTCTCATCTCGGTGTGTTTTTTTTGGTCTTTTTGAGACAGGGTCTTGTTATCCAGTTTAGGCCGGCCTTGAGCTCACTTTGTAGCCCAGGCTGGCTTCAAACTTGGCAACAGTCCTCCTGCCTCAGCCTCCCAAGTGCTGGGATTACAGGCGTGTGCCACCACGCCTGGCTTTTCATCTTGGTTTTGAAGCGGGTGACTCGGGCTGGGGGAATTTAGGTCTCCAAACTTCGTATTGCTGGTTTTAGACAGACATTCCCTTAGTGATTAACACGTGTGCAGCACTGGGCAGGGTCTGACCTAAGTTCAAGGTAATAAAGGCAAGAGACCCAAAATTAAAGGGAGAAGCTGGGCATGATGGGGCACATCTGCGATTCCAGCACTCTGGGAGGCTGAGGCAGGAGAATCGAACGTTCTAGCCCCATCTGGGCAACTTGGTGATTTAGTGAGACCCTGTCTCCAAATAAAAATTTTTTTAAAAAGAGCTCTCTGGGGGATGGAGCTCAGTGTGAGGGTCCTGAGTTCAATCCCCAGTACTACAAAAATAAATAAGAGGCTGAGACAGGAGGATCACCATGAGTTTGAGGCAAGCCTGGGCTATCTAGTGCTTTTAAGGTCAGCCTGAACTGCATAGTGAGACCCTTATTCCAAACAAAAGTAGGAGGCAGAGATGCTAATCTCTGTCTGGCTTTAGTTACGCATGGGGCATGTGCAGGCCCAGGACCGCGGTCCCTGTCACAGGAGCACTCCTGCATCACACGCCCTGGGTGGCTCTTGGGTGGGTGATGGGGCTTCTCTGGGCTCCGGTCAGAGCTGGTGCTTTCCTGCCCTTGCTGCCCTCTGCTGCGGGGACCCCAGGGAAGCCAGGGTCCTGTGCCACCACCCGTGCCCAGCGCGCGCACAGCCTGGGGTCATACGGGATCTCAGGCCGACGGAGGGGACATAACAGGATGCCCGGCTGGAGACAATGGCAGAGGAAGGGGTGGGCAGCCCCGTGCGGATGAGCCCCCAGCCAGCTCCGGCTCCGGCCGGGCGGCCTCGCTATTGTCAGTGTAGACAGCTGTTGCCGCCAGGAAACTGGCCAGCGCGCAAGGCAGGGACCGGCAGTCCTCACCCAGGCGGGCCGCAGTGGACCTGGGCTTCCCTCTGCGGGCTGCACCCTTGGCTTCCCCGGGCTGATTTCCCCCGGGTCACAGAGCCACCTGGCCCCAGCAGCTCCCACTCAGCCCGGGAGCCCGGAGCCAGCTGTAGTCGCCTGGCGGTGCTGGCGGAGCAAGTGGTGAAACAGTGGAGGAGCTACCGGGAGGCCGGGCCTGCGGTGCAGAGGGCCCCACATGTGCTTGGCTGGGGCTCCTCCAAGATGCTCCGGCCCCTGCGTCTCCTGGGGCTGTATCACAGGGGTCTTCACTGCAGAATGAGGGTGCAGAGCGCTGGGTGTGGTGGC